CACACACACACACACACACACACACACACACACACACACACACACACACACACACACGCCTGAGGGCAGAAATCAGAGACCGCAACAACATCGTCAGCAGAAAACAAACTGGCCTCGTTAGAAAAAGAAGTCATTTTTAAATCAACAGGTTGAAAAACTCAAACATCAGAATCTGCTTTGTTTAACTCAACATGTTCAGTTTGTTGGAGACRAAACTAATGAGTCTCGTCTTATTTTATTACATTATTCTAGAACAGCAACGAATAAAGAAACGTGGAGAAAAGAGAGTGAACCTGAGGAGGTAAATAATATGAACCCCTCCCTCAGCAGTTTGTTTTATTAGATGWGATGCTAACAGAAACCAGACGTTGTGTTTGAAGAAGCACGTGTTCATGTTGTTACAGGTGGTTCTGGTTGATCCAGCAGACGAGGGGCTGCAAACRTACAGAAAACTCATGGTTTGTTTGGTTCAATATTTTAGTCTCATGTTTTTTTATATAAAAGAGAAATGTCCATGTTCTTCTTAACTTGTAATCTATTGAAATTAATTCTGAACATTTGTTTAACCTCAAAAGTCCAGTTTTTAGATGAAATGTTGCTGAAACAGCAAGTTTCTCAGTGGATCTGTGCTCCACAGTGCAGCCTAGGTGGAGTAGTCGAACACAGATCCACTGATCCTTCAACACAGAGCATCTTCAGAAGACAAGTTGATAAAATAAATGTTAAAAATCTGGATTATCTAAATCTGTGMCAGGTTTCCAGATCAGCTGAGTTTGGATGTGTGGAAACAGGTCTGGTTTGTTGTGGGCTTCAGGTCGGTGGTCTCAGGGTCGGTTCAGTTTCAGTCAGATTTATCGTCACACCTGAGGTGTTTTTAAAGTTTTTCAGGTTTCAGAAGGTCTGATTTATGGTCCTAACTGATCCTGCAGGTCCAGGTGGACGTTCTGTTCAGGATAAAACTGTTAAAGCTTCAGTTTGTTCTCTGGATTATTCATGAGATTTATTTTGTATTTACTGAACAGATTTAAATATTCAGGTAGATAAGTTGTGTACATGTTGATGGTAAACCTGGAGGCTGTGTTGATGAAAGTTMATTTTATTCAAACTGAACTGCAGATTAAAGAAGCTCTTTATTTGTTTTTATAGTTTAAACTGATTTCTAACAGATTCAGCTCCAGTTTGTTGCTTTGATTATTAAAACTGATGATTGTGAGGTTTAAAACACTATTTCTGAAGTCTTCAGCTGATGAGAATGAAAACAGGTAAAGAAGTGATTTACTTGTCCAGTCTGCAGCTTTCATGATGCATCATAAAATAAAACTATGGAAGCCCAATTCTGCCACTCAAAATAAATAATTTGTCTAATGATATATCATAATTATGAGATACAAAGTCATAATTATGAGATACAAAGTCATAATTATGAGATACAAAGTCATAAATTTGAGATACAAAGTCATAATTATGAGATAAAGTCATAATTTTGACTTTAAAAGTCATAATTTTGACTTTAAAAGTCATAATTTTGACTTTAAAAGTCATAATT